AAGGCCAAGTGCTTATTTCGGGGGTCAAAAGAAAATAAGACCCTGTCTTATTTGGGGGGGGGGAACTCGGTAGTTTAGCAGAGCATGTGAATTCATGCATAATCCTGAACCTAAACATATTAAACATAGCTGCATAGGCTTAGCCACATCATAAGCCGAAATGAAAAGAAAAAAAATAATCAGCATACGAACCTGACCCTGGTACTCTTGAACAACAGCCCTTCTTGTACTGTAAATATGTCTCTTTCTTTAGCGAGAAAACCCAACCAGAAATTTTCCTGAATTAAAAAGCAACTTCATGGAAAATATGGGACACCTGAAGATCCACATGGGTTACAATGACTGGAAGGTAAGTCTCTATCATTCCTAGAGTCCTGTTCCTCCTCCTCAGATGCTACTAATTTTCTTTCCTGAACCTTCATCCCTCTTCGGCGATTCTCTCATTTTCTTACCAAGACCTTGGACTGCCTTATTCTGATTTCCACTGCTACAGGAGGGCCAAGTATAGTCCTACCAGAAATCCTCTGCTTTTCTACCTTCCTCTCTACTTACATAAGAAACACCTGCATCTTCCTATGGATCTTCAACAGCCCTCTTTAGGAGATACGGATTGTTCTCCAAGGGGTTACCAAGGAGGGGCAGAACAATAGTGGCCTTAATTTAATATAATTAACCTTCAATAACGATATCTGGTCTGTTTTCAGGAGTTTGAAACCTGGATGCACAAGTGGCTGATCTTCCAATTGGCCCAAAAAGCGGATAACGAAAAAGGTATGCATGCTAGACTTGTAGGAAACAAACAGGTTTTAAGCGTGAAGTAAGCATGAAATTCTTGGAAGCAAAGAATGAATCCGTTCACCTCAGAGCAGATCAAAGTGCCATGTTCTACTTGCGCTTACCATCCTAAAGAAGTGTAGGAAATGAGTAGGAACAGCAACAATATTCTAGAAGGCATTCCCAAGTGTCGTGATGTTACCAAGCTTTGTGAGGAAAGTTAAATACTGAGGTATATGCAGAAAAGTCAGAGAGTTTGTCTCCCCCCTGTCCCATTCTATGTAGCTTTGCTTATTTCATAGTTTAGGATCAGTGCCGTACAGGTAGTCCTCGACTTACAACCATTCGCTTAGTGACCATCTGAAGTTACAATAGCACTGAGGAAACTGACTTATGATCGTTTGTCACCGTTACAACCATTGTGATCAACATTTGGGCCCTTGGCAACTAGCCTGTGTCTATGACAATTGCATTGTCCTGGGGTCGTGTGATTTGCAACCTTCTCAACTGGCTTCTAACAAGCAAAGTCAATGGGAAAAGCCAGACTCATTTAACAACCACATGGTTCACTTAACAACTGCAGTGATTCACTAACAACTGGTTTGCTTAGCAACGGAAATTTTGGGCTCAGCTGTGGTTGTAAGTTGAGGAGTACCCGTACATAGCATTATAGTAATGAAGAAAGCCAATTGCAGGAAGATGCCTTTGGTGTGTCCAATCAGCAATAGCAAAAGCACTTAGACTTATATACCGCTTCACAGTGCTTTACAGCCTTCTCTAAGTAGTTTACAGAGTCAGCCTATTTTCCTCAACAATCTGGATCCTCATTTTACCAACCTCGGAAGGATGGAAGGCTGAGTCAACCTTGAGCTGCCTTTTTTTTTACTCGAAGGAAGCCCCACGTTCTATGAAAGAATTCAAAGGCACCATCTTGTAAATGCAAATGAGTGGTGTGGTGGCCTAGAGGTGGAGCTCTCGCCTCACAACCAGGAGGCTGTGAGTTTGATCCTCGGTAGAGGGAGATATTTCTCTCTCTGGCCCCAATGAGAATATATCTGCTGAACAAAACTCTGCATTGGCAGCAGGAAGGGCATCCGGCTACTAAACACTTAGCTCCATTCAGTTGCCCAGACTCCACCCCGCAAGGGGTTATAGGGTCATTAAAAGAAAATGATCTTGTAAATGAAAATCTCTTGTTCTGTTGCAAAGGGGATTTTGCCATTTCCACAAATTCCTTCTCAAGTTGCAGCTCTCCATCCTACGCGGTCCTCCCATCTTCCAAAGTAGCTGGGATGGAGAGTTGGAAGAGGAGAAGCTTCCTTCCCAGACAGACTAATGTGTGGGAACTAGATGAAAGCTTGGTTCTATTCTCAAACAAGCCAAGGCAGGCCCTTCACTCGAAGCCAATGGCTTTTAAAGATGCAAACATGTTTTAAATTGATGCCAAGGGTACTGCTCCTCTCTTCTTGCCAATGTTGGTTGAATTCAATATTCTTATTGCCAGCTGTAAAATTATATCAGTGCGTTATTCTGTCCTTTTCAGTTCCTTTTTGCACAAAATAAACCATTTGCCTTTGGCCCTTCAACAATGCATTTCTGAGAGCAAGCTATCCAGGGGGGTTACTGAACGATGTGCCAAGGAATATTGCCGTTGGGGTATAACTCATTGTGTAAAATATTCAAATCCCTTCTTGATGTAAATTGGCCGGTGTCTTAAGCTGGGATGAAAATGTCCGTCTTTATTAGATATCTACATTTATCAAGAGTCCATGTCAATAGCAGATTAGGGCTGATCCCTGTGAGCAAGAGAACAAGAAGGATCACAAGGGTAAGAAGGATCATAAGGGTAGAACAAGAAGCAATGGGTGAAAACTAATCAAGGAGAGAAGCAACTTAGAACTAAGGAGAAATTTCCTGACAGTTAGAACAATTAATCAGTGGAACAGCTTGCCTCCAGAAGTTGTGAATGCCCCAACACTGGAAGTCTTTAAGAAGATGTTAGATAGCCATTTGTCTGAAATGGTATAGGGTTTCCTGCCTAAGCAGGGGGATGGACTAGAAGACCTCCAAGGCACCTTCCAACTCTGTTATTCTATTCTATAACATGGAAACAGTGACCAAGCCACTGTTTTCTCTTGTCATCCCATCTTCTTTGTCAGGGCTCTCTAACACCCATTGAAGGAACCGCTTTGAACCCATTGGACATTATTTGGGGAAGGAGGGGGGGTTGTCTTTCTGGATCAATTAATACAAATTAATTTTGGAACAAGCTATTTATGCAGTACTGATTGTTTTACTACTGCAGGGTGTTTGACTTGGGAATCTGAAGCTCCTTGCCTTTCTACAAAGAAGAGGCAATGGGCAGAATGTACACAGTACAGGTAGTCCTCGATTTACAACAGTTTGTTTAGTGACCATTCAAAGTTACAACGGCACTGAAAAAAATGACTGATGACCAGGTTGCACACTTACGACCGTCGTAGCAGCCCCACGGTCCTGTGATCAGAACTGACTCATATTTATGATGCTTGCAGCGTCCTGGGGGTGGTGGTGGTGTCACGTGATCGCCTTTTGCAGCCTTCTGATGAGCCAAGTCAATGAAGAAGCCAGTTTCACCTGGCAAACGTTTGACTAATTTAACTATTGTAGTGGTTCACTTGACCACTGTGGCAAGAAAGGTTGTAAAATGGGGCAAACTTGCTTAACAACATACATTTGGCTTCACTTGTGGTCTTAAGTCGAGGACTACCTGTTAACTTATTGAGCCTGCTTGGTTGATGAGCTTTACATGCTGTAGAGCCCAGAACTTAGATGGAAAGAGAAGAGAAAGCACTGGAAGTCACCAAGCAGAAGAATGTGTTTCCTCTCCCTTCCTTCCCCCCCCCTCTCTCACACACACATACACACACACACAGCAATAAATGATTCATTTAATACTTCAGTTACAAACTAGAAGTTGCATCTGGAGGAAGGAAGGCCCAAGATGCAAATTAAGAGCCTCTTCAATATAATTTAAAACCCACGGGAACATCTTAGGCCTTTCAGCAATTCCCCTCCGTAAATGATTCAATAATAATGCTTCAGTAAGTTCAGTTACTTTATGCAACTAACTTGAGCACCAATCTTGTGTTTAAGAAGAATTCTTCCTTCTGTGATTTCTGCAGTTTTTGAAATCAAACCCAGTGGCTGAGGTTTTCAGATCAATTAGCCGCCCAGCAGTCATCAACTACTGCCCCCATTAGCAGGATTTATATTAATACTACCTCCATTAGACTACTCATTAGTGTTTGCTCTCATTAGGCTAAATGGCTTCCTTGGGAGCCATCCCAATGAAATAGCTGTCATAATTAAAGTGGCATATTGTTACAAAAAGCATTATTTCCTTACCCTTCCCTTCCCTTTGCTGTAGCTACAATGGAACATGTTTTGATGATTAAGGAGTAGCCGACACAGTCAGTCAAGCCATATGTTAAAACTTTAACTTTACTTGGAGCTTCCAGGCTGCTTATGTGTGATGCGATGGCTATGCAGTAGACTTGCTTGCTCCCTTCCCTTCCAATGTGCATTGTGTATGCAAAAGCCCCACCGTCCTTGGAAAAGCGCTATTGAATGCTTCTCCCCAAGGGACTGGCTTTCTGGCATGGAGTTGTGCCACATTCCGAGAAACACTTCATTTCTGAATTATGCTCAATATATAAATTTATCATGTTTAATTAATTGGAGAACGGCATCTCTTCAGACAGAGTTGAAGTACAACTGCCACCACTCCTCATATATTTTTTTAAATTTACATCCCAAGTTAAAATACAAACTCCAAAAGAAAAAAAAAAGGACAAGGCAAAATGATGAACAAGACAAAAATTGACATAAAACAACAACCAAAAACATACACGCATATTGTTCCCCCCTAGCTGAATACTGATAAATATATTTCAACAATAGTTCTCCCCCTTGCAAAACAGGCCCACAGTTTATGAACTTCCACAACTCTATTTACCCAACCAATGTGACATCTATCTACTGTAAAAAAAAAAAGAATCCTTAACAGGTAAACTCAATAGCAAAGCTAAACTTTAAAGTCCTCTGTTGAGGTTTGAGGTTTATTCGATTTATATGCCGCCCTTCTCCCAAGGGCTCAGGGCGGCCTACAACATTAAAAGAAACACATACTACAAAAGTTAAAAAGAAATTAAATAGGATATCCCCAAACCCAATTAAAATTAACAATGACACAATTTTTTTTAAAGAATTAAAATTAACAATAATCAATACTTTGATTTGTTCAGGCCAGGCTGTTAACAATCAATTGTTATAATTAACTCACAGAAAGTCCACAATGACTTCTAATCTATCATACACCACTGATTTGTCCAGGATCACGTATCCTAGATCAGGGGTGTTAAACGCATGTTGTCATGGCATTGTCACATGATGTATCATGACTTTCCCCCCTTCGCTAAAACCGGGCGTGACCAAGTGCGTGACGCATCTGGCCCGTGGCCCACGAGTTTGACAGCCTTGTCCTAGATATTTGACAACTCCAACCATTCCTGGCCATTCGTGGACAGCCATTTTTCTGAAATAGTATAGGGTTTCCTGCTTGAGTAGGGGGTTGGACTAGAAGATCTCCAAGATCCCTTCCAACTCTTGTTGTTCTGTTATGTCCTTGCTGGGTGAGGCTGAGGGGAGCTTGCACCACAACCTGCACTAAAGGCCATACATTCTGTATCATCATATATGCTCTTCTGAAGGCAAAGGATGTGATTATTGTGATTTACAAGTGCTTTAAAAGGATAGAAAGAGTCCTGGCAATCAGCTATAAATATTAACATTTCCTTGGTTCTCCCCCCCACTTTTTTTAAAGGGAAAACCAAGTGCCAGAAGGAAGAGTGTGTTAAAGGTGTCCATCCAGGAAAATTATGTGCCCATTGTGATAAAAAGGGGAACTATCTGCCTATGCAGTGCCATTCCGGCACCGGCTATTGCTGGTGTGTCTACAAAGATGGCACCGAAATTGAGGGCACTAAAATCAGAGGACGTCCAGACTGTACTGGTAAAGAGCTTCTTTCTGCTTGCTATCAATGAGGAGAGTTACTCATGTGATGGTTATGCTTATGAATATTAAATTTGTTTGCCACCCATCTTGCAGTCTGAAGCAACCCTGAGTTGCTTACTGTGTGATACAAATATCCAGACAATTAGAAATATAAGAACATATAAAAATTAAACTAAAAATCCATAGGTTTGGAGTGGAGAAGTGGGAGCGCCTTCTCTGCTCATGCACTACCAACCACCTCCAGCCAACAGCTTTTCCTTCAGGGCCTCATAGCCACGTTTTAAGGTATTTTCTGAAGGCTAAAAAAAAGAGAGAAGGCAGATTTTACCTCCTGTGCAAGATATTCCAAAGAAGAGGGCCATGGCAGAAAAAGCCCTTCTCTTGGATCTTACCAGCCAAATTCCTTGGCTGATGGGATCTGCAGTAGGCCCCTTTGCAGCACGAATGGGATCCCACTGGGAAAAGGTGGTTCCACAGATATCCTGGATTCATGCTTTAGAGCAGGGATGTCAAACTCACATTGTCATGAGGGCGTCACGTGACATATTGGGATTTCCCCTTCGCTAAACCAGACATGGGCGTGGCCCATGATGCATCTGGCCTCGGGGCCTGGAGTTTGACAATTAGAAATATAATTGACAGCCCTCCTTTAAAGATAATAACCAACACCTTGAATTGCACCTGGAAGCAGATTGGCCTCCAGTAGCTGAGGCAAGGAGGTTGCTACACACCAGGGAGGCTGGTACAGCAGAAACACTCCCATTTGATCCTGGCAGCCTAGTCTCAGAAACAGGGTCTCCCATCTGGAAACGTGGGGAGCATGGTCCCTGAAGGCCAAGAGAGATTCTCGAATGACAACTGCCACTCCCCCTGTCCTGTGGCCTTGGTTGGTGCCAACCCCCCCCAGGGTACATCTCTGAGAGGGTCTGGGAGTGAGTTCAGAGGGCTGGAACACGCCACTGGTCTTAAGCATAGGTGGCATCTTCCCCTGCAAAGGCCTGCCCTTTGGCTTCCATCTATACGCCCCATGCCCATCATCACTTAAATGAATGGCCTCATCCATTTTTAAAGCTTTTGTGCATACATTTTCTTGATGCACGATGCAATGATATTTCATCAAATATGAGTTGCTGGCAGCAATTGCATTGTCTTTATTAGTTTTATAAATGCTTTAAAAAAAAAACCAACTATAGCTAGGCGACTATCAGTAGCTATACCAGATTTGTTAGCAAATATTTTTTAAAAAAAATCACTTTAACGTAATTTCTGTTGCTTGAGGTAAATCAAGTTTAGTTGTGTTTTTTAATGGTACTAAAGCCATTTTTCTTCAGTGATATATTTGTTATCAACACCCCTAATAAAAATGGCAAATTGAGTCATATTTGCAGCATTACTACTTTATCTACTTCCAAAGCATAAAATTTGAAATTACTAACTTTACTCTCCAAATCTCTTTTTCGATAGAGAAAGATAGAATTTTCTATTTTTTGCAATTTGCCTGGCTATAGTATAGTGAGACAAACTGATTTTAGAAAAATCAATTAAAAAAACCACTGAGATAAATTATTTCTGCCATACTTGCCATAAACTGCTTAATAAACTCACCATTAGTAAATGGTTTCAATTTTTTTGCGATCAGATTTTCTACCACATAACTATCAAATTAGTCGTAAATTTGTTTTAAAAATGGTTAGATGACATGCTTTTTTCAGTTCCGCTATTTTGTTTTTACAAAACATCCCTTGATATGTATCGAATTTGGCAGCGTGTTTTACATGTCTTTCTAATTTGCAATCTTTAAAACAGACACAATTCCCTGAAAATTAAGCATAGTGCCTTATTATTTGTTTTGACAAAAAAGTATTCAACTCTCCATTTTTCATTGAAAACTCTTTCTCAATTTTATTTTTTTATGGTTCTGGGTTTTTTTGACAGGATGTTGAAGCTGTGCTTTCATTAAAAAAAAGTAACCATTTATTTTCCTAAATAATGATGGAGCATATGTAATTATATCAATATCATGAGCAAAGAACTATTTAATTAATTTTTGCACCACTCTACCACAGTTGCTAAAAAGCTATTTTAACTTATTATTTTACGAATTAATGCAGTAAACCCAAGTGTAATAATTACATCAGAAAACTTACATGTATGCTTCCCAACAAAAATCTTAAGAATTTTTTTTTTTTGCTGGATTAATAAATGTCTGTCTTCACAGGCACAGACACATTATCACACACATATAATTTGTTACCACTGCATTTTACTTGCCAAGCTGCACAAACAAATGTAATGTCTGACACACGTGGATTTCTAGTCGACTATGTGTGGTGGGCACAGGAGGTGAAGATAACACAGCTCAGTGCTCTCCTGTACACAGTGTTCGATTGTTCCCTACGTAGTCCATACTTGACTACTGTGCAATTGAGTCATGAAAAATATAGCTAAAAATCATGTAACGTTAAAAGTGTATATCTTGGGGCTGCATTACTAGCTGTTCAGGGTTGTATATGAGCCGTAGGTTGGACATGCCTGATCTAGACCATGATAGGAGTGTTCCAATACTTGAGGGGCTGCCCCAGAGAGGAGGTGATCAACCTATTTTCCAAAGCATCTGAAGGCCAGAGAAGGAATAATGGATGGAAGCTAATTAAGGAGAGATTCAACCAAGAAATAAGGAGAAATTTTCTGACAGGGAGAACACTCGATCAATGGAACAGCTTGCCTTCAGAAGTTGTGAGAGCTTCATCATTAGAAGCTTTCAAGAAGAGACTGGACTGCCATCTGTCAGAAATGGTATAGGGTCTCCTGCTTGGGCAGATTGGACTAGATGACCTACAAGGTCCCATCCGACTCTGTTATTTTGTTGGACCAAAGGGAGGGGTTGTTGGTTAATAGACAAGCTAAATTAGGATTATAGGTATATCCTGATCAGAGAAAAGCTAGTATTTGTGTGCCAATAAAACATCAGGGGGCTTTGCTTCTAGAGGATCAGGAGGCTTTTTTTAAAGCCAAGACAGCTTCCTCCCAGGTTTAAACAATGAGATAGTTGCAGAGTTCCTTGAAAAGGAATAGCTGAAGATTCTGAAATACACACAATAAAGGAATGTTGATAAAAATGAGAACATTTGCAGATATAGGGATTTGATTAGGGAAAAGACAGCTACATTTGTTAGTGACTAGACACCCTTTAATATTATTTTTTTCCTGAAAATGGAAAAATATGTAATTTGGGATTTATGGGATTAGAAAAAATAGAATATGGAAAGAAGGAAGCGATGATAGAACTATAGAGATGGAGGACAACATATAAACGCATTTATAACAGCAGTAAAGATCAGAAGCCACTTCTTTATATCTTTTTTTCTTTTGTCTTTTCTCTTGTATTCCTTTTCTTCTTTAAATTTGTACTTTTTTTTTAACTTTGTAAAACATTTATTTATTTATTTATTTATTTATTTATTTATTTATTTATTTATTTATTTATAGGAATAACTAATCAGAGTGGACCAACAGCCCGCCCCACTCGCCGCCTCCCAAAAAATGGCACGCTGCTGCAGCCCCCCCAAGGTGGTAACATTTGTTGCACTGATCGATTCTTTCAAATTAAGAAATAGAAGTTTTAAATCTTTTTAAATGTGTGAATATTTTGTCTTTGCAGGCATTTTGGATCCTGAGAATGCGACCTATTCTGGAGACCAATACTGATGGATCTTTTCAGGTGACTTGAGGAGAACCCTGTTCAATCTGTGCAGAGGGCTCTGTAGGGCAGGGGTCTCCAACCTTGGCAACTTTTAAGACTTGTGGAACTAGTTGGGAACTAGCTGAGGAACTCTGGGAGTTGAAGTCCACAAGTTGCCAAGGTTGGAGACCCCTACTTTAGGGCAATATCCTGCTTCCCAAAATGCTTAGCTACAGATAGCCATGGCAGCCTACCCCAACTTAATATCCTTTAGATGGCTGGATGTTCTGTTTGCACGCTCTTTGGCTTGCTGGCTAGGAACTGTCTTGAAATCCCAGCTATACGGAGAGACCAGGTTAAGTAGGGCTTGGCTTAGGGCTATAAAGGTCTATTTTATTTATTTGTTTATTTAGTTTGTCACTCATGTACAAGATAACAGGAATAAGAATAAACATGAATAAGAACACAGGAAATGGGTGCAAATAAATGGGGACATTAGGACAGGGACGTTAGGCACGCTGCTGCACTTATGCATGCCCCTATGTATGCACACCCCTCTAAAGGACATAAGCTCCATAGCTATAAAGGACATGCTGTAAGTTCCATAACTCTTTAACCATACTCATTTCTCAGCTAATGCTGCCCACCTGATTCAGAAAAAGTGTACCAATATCAAGGCTAGTAGTAGCAATTTGCGTCTTACATTATCTACAAATATCTACCATGCAATAAAGAACTGCAGTTCAAATGTTATTCTGAAGAAAAGAGGGGAAAATATCTTGGTTACGTCCAGTTGGCCTAATACACTGCTGGATGTGTAGGTTTCACAGATTCCATGCTTATGTTTTAGATGCATGTCCAACTAGATTGCAGAACATATAAATGTCTTTATGCTTCATAATGCTGGAACAACAGTTTTTTTAAACTATATGCATGTGTGAAGAACAGATGTATATATAAAATATATGTATACATCTGTATATATATAAAATATAAAAAATATAAAAGCTAAACAAGCAACTTCCTTGAATTGGTTTCATCAAATTTATTGAACTGGCACCGTAAATATTTAGAGCTGTGCATTAAATAAATGTCGTGTAGAATAACTTGAAGGGGAAAAGGTCAGAATAAAAGGAGCTTGTGGCAAATACATGGGCAAGTTGAATAATGCTACAGTAATCCATAGGATATGATTAAAACATATGATTGGTATCTTGAAAATATGATGTGGACTTTCCCACTTTAGAGACCAAACTAGACTCAGACTTCTAAATAATAGTTTTGTTTCACCATTCTCATTTGTTCTTCTTTTTTCTCCTTAGAAAATATGAAACAAGGAAGCCAGCACATTAGCCTAAGAAAGCCAAATTGTCTTCAGCTTTTTTCACTTTTGCTTGGATGCTGATTTCAAGAATTACTGTAAAAGGAATCTGCTTCTAAATTTATCAGTTTAAGAATTATCTTTAAATGAAAAGGAAAGTAGCTTAATTATTACTGTCAACAATGCTCAGTACAGAACTATTATTTTAGAAAAGAGACCTATGCTTATCAAGGACAACAAGAAATTAGGTATTTCCCTGTATAATCAGTTCATGCCCACCCTCCTCCCATTCTGATGGTTAATCAGTTAAGATCACTCAGTGCAAATATTTCAACATCAATCCTGTTCCACATGTCCACTTACCATCAAATAGGAATTTAAAATACGACAAAGATGCCATTTCTCCAAAACGCTTTCTTTGCAAGGTTTATTTCCCTCAGATTGCCTCTCCTGATTTTACAAAGCCCACCCATTCATATCATTATTTACTTCATTATTTTCTCAACCTTGGCAGCTTCAAGGAAGGACTTCAACTCCTAGAATTTGAAGTCCACCCATCTTGAAGCTAACAAAGTTGATATGCGCCAATTTACTATATTTTATGTGAATGATTAGAACAAAATCTCTAAAACAACATTCCTGAATTGGCGTCTTCCAGATGTATTATCACAAGGTCAGAGATCTAGGCCAGCATATTTGATGTTACTCTTTAAAACAGTTTTTCTTAATCATGGCAATCTAAGATGTTTGGGCTTCAACTGAGCCAAGAATTACTAAGGTGGAGAAATGTTCTGGGGATTCTGGGAGTTGCAGTCATCTGGCAGACATCAGGATGGGGCACAGTATCTTACAGGGGAGACATCCTTACTTCCAGAAAGACCAACTTTACTAACTGGATGGCATAGGTAGCATGTTTTTCCCCCCCAAGAAAAGCTTAGTAGAGTATTAGATTTTGGCCTGCTGACGTGTATTCATGCTTTCTTTAAGAATATCCTTAACATAATCTTTAGAATAGTTATTGAGCAAGTTAAGATAAGCAAAGAAGTCTTTAAAACATACTTCTAATTGATGATAGGCTCTTACGTTTATATACCAATCATAGTCTATGGTCTGTTAATGATGCACACTGAATATATAATCACTGATAACAAACTAAGATGATTTTAATTGTAAGCTTTTGCAAAATAAAAAAAGTAACCAATTAATGAAGCACTCTTCTGCTGAAGTGAATGATTTGACCCTTTCACATTCTAGCAACGCACAGGCTGCCAGAATATCCTCTCCTTTGAACAAAGTGCAGTTGCAGAAAGATGCTGCTGCAGTATTTTGCTCAGTAATTGCTAATGATGTTATTATTCCTGACATGCTTTCATTTGATTGTGCATACAATCATTAGGCAAGTGTGATGGAGATGCTGTCTTTCTTTTTGGCCACTGCAGACATCAGAGAGGAGGGATCTACACAAAGAACAGCTTTCACAGAACGTCCCATACATGACGTTCAGGAGCAAGCTGCATCCTTCCATAGTAACAATGTTAATACCACTTTATAATGCCTTGGTAAGGCCACACTTGGAATACTGCATCCAGTTTTGGTTGCCACGATGTAAAAAAGATGTTGAGACCCTACAAAGTCATGAGCCCAAAATAATAACAGTTTTCAAGGTCAGTTAATTATAACTTGCCCCAACACCGCAAAGTTATGTGTTGCCATGTTAAAGGTAATGGGGCAGGAAGAACCTTTTCAGTGATTTTCTTGATTAGGCTGCAATAGAGTAATCTCCTTTACTTGGAATAATCAAGTTGGAATTTCCTACCAGAATTCCTACAATGCTGTCAAGTCTCGCTTCTAGTACAAGACAGGATTGAATAAAAGAAGAGTTGGGTAGTAAAACACACACACACACACAGGACTTTATTTTATAGAAATTGCAGAATCTAGTTGCTTCTTATGCAGAATGTAGACGCTCTTTTGAATAGATATCCCTTGACTTCCTGTATTCCACTCTTACATGAATGCATGAGCATAATCCATATGAGATCAGAACTTTGCCAAATTATCAGCAATATGCAGGTGTGGTGGAGAAATTGTGCACTTGTTTTTAAACACACAAATCTGCTTTTGAGAGACCGCCTGCTGCCAATCACTTCCAACAGACCGATTAGATCCCACAGATTAAGCCTCCTCCGAATTCTATCCACTGGCCAATGCCAATTGGCTACCACCTGGAGGAGGGCCTTCTCTGTGGCTGCTCCGGCCCTCTGGAACGAGCTCCCCGTGGAGATTCGGACCCTCACCACCCTCCAGGCTTTCCGCAAAGCCTTAAAAACCTGGCTGTTCCGACAGGCCTGGGGCTGATGAGTTCCTGTCCCCCCTCGAATGGTGTGGCTGTTGATTGTTTTTAAAATTGTGGTGTTGTGTTGTCCGTTGTCTTTCTTTTTTCCCCGTTTGTACCCTCCCCCCCCGACTTGGTTGTGAGCCACCCTGAGTCCCTCTGGGAATAGGGCGGCATAGAATAAAATCGAAATCAAAATTTTTCCAGTCAAAACCTTTTATCTTTTATTAATAAAAAGAGGAAGGATGAGACAGAAAGCCAATCCAGAGACAACACAATTTTGAACGTGCTGGACATAAAGAGAGACAAAGGATGCCCCTTCTTGAAAATGAAAATAAAAAGTTGATTTAAAAAAAAATAGCAGGAGGGAAGGGATGAGGGTGTTCCTTTAAAAATATAACTTTTAAGTGTCGAGGAAGAGAAGAAACGAAGGAGAAACAGCAATGTAAAAAATTTTCAGTAAACAAAGCCAACTTTTTGTCTTTGACTCTTCTGAGCGACCTCTTCAGACATCCAGATCATTTCATTTAATGATACAAGCTGAATTCTTCTATCAAGCCCATATCCCGGTTACTTGAAGCTCACAGTTTCTTAGCTTTAAAAGTCATCAGTAAAAATAGTTATAAATTAAATTCAATCTCTGACATTTGGTTTTGTTGTTTAAAAATATAAATGAATAATTATTTTCTAATTAATGTATTCCATTCTTCAGGTTGAATGATAAAGCCACTGCAGAGAGGAGACAAAAGATAAAATTAGGAAAAGCACTGTGGTGGGGAGGTGAGAGAAAATAAATAGTATTCTTGAAATTCTTTTAAAAACTCTTAATTGCTCTACTTTAGATTCTGGCAATCATTTTGCCCTGAAATGAGAGTTTGACAGGTCTTCTAAAAAAAAAAGGTAATTAAAAGAAGTGTTTCAAACAGATTTGGATATTCAGCAAATCCAGAAAAGAAAATTTCTCTTTTTCATCTCTGATTGAAGTTACCTAAAATGGAAAGTACCGGAAAACCTTTTTAAAAAAACCCTAAAAATAACAAGAAACAGAACTTGATGAAATCAGTAGGTTCTCAAGTTCAAAGCTATGGTGATCAGAGTACAGAGAATTTCTGTAACACAACCTACAACAGCTCAATGCCCTTCATGTATGGAATCAAAGTTGGGCATTAATGGGGCATTAGAAGTCAAAAATATCTGGAGGTCAGCTGACTAGGAAGAGATCTAATTTATAAATATCTAATGTAAACAGGATGTCTACAATGCTAAGACATTGATTAAATTAATTACAACTCTACTACATTACAACCATACATTAGTAAACATAACTAATAAAGACAAGGTAAAACTGAGATCAGCCCCAGCCCAACTCCATATAATTAGTCATGCAGATTTCCTGACAACATCACAATTTGCCATTGCTGCTTCTCCTTTCAATCAAGGTGGTTTCATATACATGATACAATCTTTGGGGAATGAAAAAGAAAGTTAGACGCTGCTTTTTTTTGGACTTTTTTTTCTGGATGACTGCCCAGTTTGGCCAACACAAACCAGCTAAAGCCCTCCAAAACATCTTAAATACAATAGTCACATTATGTAGGGCAGTCAGGCAGGCAGAATAATAGCAGAGTACATCCATGAACACCAACTAGCAGTCAGAAGACACAATGAAAACTTATTAATATCACAAAACATAGACAGACTCAACCATAGTTTCAACTGGGAAACTCTGAGCATCCTAGGTTTAGTCAAGTTGAAAAATGCTAGAGAATTCCTGGAAGTCTGGCACTCACACAAATCAACCATGAACAGTCACCCAGAAATAAACCTAATTTACACACCATTCAAAGGAGGCAATAAAAAACCCTAACAAAAATATAAGAACACAGCCTCTCCGCAGCAGGCAATATCCAGATAAGCAGGGATTAAACACTGGGTAAACAATCAAGCAGGAAACAAAACCCTTAATCAAGGAACTATCAAGGAAAAAACCACACCCTCCACTAAAACTGGCAGAGTAAGGTACTGTATATTAATAGGGACCAAACTCCACATTTACTAGCACCTACTTGGATACTCTATTATTGTAATTGCCATGGGATTTCTATGATTTCTCATCAAAATATTAATGAAGCCCATCTTGCTTAATTTTGAATATATCTCCAGGAGATGGACCCCAATCCCTTTGTTTCTCTCCCAGAACCCCCCTTGATTGTGTCCACAAATTTTAGTTATGCAGTTCCTTGATATTTAGAGGTGGGGGGAAAAACAGAAAACATTTGTGTACGTCCTAAAACAGACTATTAAAAAATCCAAATCTTGACCTCATCTTACTTTTTCTTTGCCCCTTTCACTGCATCCATAGCCCTTCCACCATACATTAAGTGCATTCCCACATTTCACAAGGACTAATAGTGATATGATCGGTGTTCCAATATCTAAAGAGCTGCCACCAAAAAGCCCAGTGGGTCAATCTATTTGTCAAGGCACCTGAAGGCAGGACAAGAAATAATGAATGGAAACTAAGCAAGGAGAGAAGCAAACTAGAACTGAAGAGAAATTTCCTGACAGTTTGAACAATTAATCAGTGGAACGATTTGTCTTCAGAAGTTGTGGGTGTTCCAGCACTGGAGATTTTTAAAAAGAAATTGGACAACCATTTGTCTATAGGGTTACAGATATAGGGTTTCTTGCTTGAGCAGGGAGTTGAACTAGAAGACCTCCATTATTCTGCTGACTTTATTACAACTTGAAAAATTACTCAGCAAGAGTTTTATTTCTATTTGTTCTCTTCTAAGCACTGCCGGCAGACAAGTGAAAATCACTGTTAAATTCTAGAAGGAAAAAAAGGTTCTTTCCCATTCACCCACTTTGAACTCAGAGTCACCTTATTGCCTTTCTATGTCTGATACCCTCCTGACATACCTACATCTCCTCTTGTTCCATCTGAGCAAAGGATCAAGGATGATGGCAATAGATTAAGAAGTGCTCATTTAACATATAATTTGCAGGGATGGCTCAGCATACTTACATGTTCATGCCTCTTCTGGAAGGCTATCCGTTTTCTACAAGAATCACAAAGCAAATGATTTCAATTTGTTCTTTTCACACATAACACAGAGAGATCATCATGTGCTAAGAAATACAGACTATGTTGGGGAGAAAAACACATAGAGACTTCTCAATTTTTCAATGGAAAAGAGCTCAGTTTGGTTTTCATTTGTGTTGAAAAAAGATACATTTCTGGGGAAAGATAAAGACTATCTTTTGAGTAAACATGTTCCGGAAGAGAGGTAAAAGCTAAGCAAAGCAAACTAAACAAGCGTAATCTGCCCTATTCAACATGCGTGCAAAAGAACAGATGGAACATTTCATACTGAAGAATCCTTGGCCTCTAAAATAATAAAAACAATAAAATCTGTCACTTCCTTTTTGGTTGGGTTTAATCCCTTCCAATACTTAACACTAGAGGAAGCAAGCCTTTTAGTTTATATTAAGAGAGTTATTTAAGGCATTGTCTGAATTTCGAAATGAGAGATGTTTTTCAGTATTCCACCTCTGATGTATTACCCAATCCACTACTTAGGCTAAAGCACCTCTTCCCCAAAGGAGTCTCCTAGAAACACGACTTTTGTGCAGAAGTGCGTAAGAAAATTCCTCTCCCATTTAATAGTTTTTCTCTTCCATCACATTAATAACAATCAACCTAGGGGATTTTCTGGTGGCCACATGTGGCCTCAAATTGTACACCTGTGCTCTGAAAAGAGTTTTGGAACATAAAAAAAAAGTCATGAGTCTAAGAATAGCTCTATATACTCACTAACTAAATATATACCTGAGTCAGATAAATACAAAACAATGAGACCAGTTGCTCAAAGTCTACTGACCCATTCAATCTGTACCTGTTCAGGATTGTAACGAAACCAATTAATGGTGGGGTGATTTCCTCTCTGCACACTCAATACTGTACTGGTGGATAGGTAAAGGTTCCCCTCGCACATATGTGCTAGTTGTTCCCGACTCTAGGAGGCAATGCTCATCTCTGTTTCAAAGCCGAAGAGCCAGCGCTGTCCGAAGAAATCTCCGTGGTCATGTGGCCGGCATGACTAAAGGCTGAAGGCGCATGGAACACTGTTACCTTCCCACCAAAGGTGGTTCCTATTTTTCTACTTGCATTTTTACATGCTTTTGAATTCATAGGTTGGCAGATGCTGGGACAAGAAATGGGAGCTCACTCTATTACGCGGTGCTAGGGATTCTGCCAACTTTTCTGATCGACAAGCTCAGTGTCTTAGCCACTTAGCCTCCCTTGTTGTACTGGTTGATAAGAAAAGTTTAATTTGTACCAGATATATATATCATACAAAACAGTTCAAAACAAATCTCAAAGGTGCTTTTTCAAGAGGTAACTGGGTTTTCTGTTTTTTCTTTGAAAACTTTACTCAGTGAACAGATCTGTACATTGAGGAAACAAAACAACTACTTCATAAACACGTGGCACAACGTAGGAGAACAAAGCAACCAGGACAAGATTCAGCAGTCCATCTTCATTTAAAAGACAAAGGTTACTCTTTTATAGACAGCAAAGTCCACATTTCGGACAGAGAGGACCACTGGTTTGAAAGAGGGGTCAAAGAGGCCATCCGTGTCAAAATTGAACAGCGCTCTGGGGAGGGACATGACACCATCTGCTCCAGTTTACAACACAATCCTTTCAACAGTTCCAAAGAGATTCTATACCAGGTGTCAAAACTCGTGTCGTCATGTGACATATGGCGACTTTCCCACTTCACTAAAATAGGGGTGGGTGTGGCCAGCGCATGATTCATCCAGCCCATAGCTGAGAGTTTGACAACCCTGCTCTATTCCCATTTGCACCACTCAGGTGATCCTGAGAACATAGATAAACCACAAGTGGCCTCAATGACTCTCTAAAAGAATGCAAATGCCCAGCTGTCTGCAAGGAATATAAATCCTTCCATTCTCCACCATCCAGTCAGAGTTGAAGAAGCTTCTTGGATGAGAAGCGGAAATGTGTTCAAAGAAAAACCAGCAAGTCTAGTTGTCTCATGAAAAAGCACCTTTGGGACAACCATGACCTGGATAACTGAGAATCTTCATAGAAAATTGAAAACAAGAATATTATTTCCTACCTTCTTTTTCTTCTTTTTCTTCTGTGACCCATCTGCATCAAGTCTCTCCACATTTTTGCTCTTCTTTTTCTCTGTAAGACATTAACAGTACAGGGTAAACAATTCAGATTGCATCTTTTAAAAAAATGTTTTGGGGTCACATAAAAGCACATGCCCAACTTTGAATGATTTTAAGTTCCAGTTGTCCCAAATTCCCCAAGATACTTTATTTCTTGGATTCCAATGCCATTTAAGGAAATGATTACTACAACATGTCAAGGACCTGCATATTGTGAATGAGTGCCAAAGTTGTACTAGAAAAATCTAGTGCTAAGACAGTTGTTTTTCTACAAACATCCATATTTGTACCAGAATCTCCTATTTATTGCAATTGGATGGGTTTTTTTGCTAAAATTATATGCAAAGATACCATGATTTGAACAAATCTGGATTTAGATGATTTCAAGCACAATGGATCAATTTACCATCCACAGATCCTTCCCCCACCCCAATAAGGGATAAATGCATTGCAAATGAATGTTCCAGATGACACAGTTAAATTAATTTTCCTTCATTTAATCATTAGAGCGCAATTTATACCATTTGCCTACAAACTACCTCAGTAATGTACTTCAAAACCCTCTCCTCAAATGGACCATTAAAACGAGGTTTCACTGTGTTGTTGCTAATCTAATCCAGGCATGAGGTCTCAAGTATTTATTTTCTCACTAACTAGGATAGCAAAAGAAGTGGTAGAATAAAGAAGTCCGGTGAAGGCAGAAAAATTAGACAGGATTAAGCAATTGAAGTCAGCCCACAAGAAATTTTAATGCAGGTAGTCCTCAACTTACAACAGTTTGCTTAATGATTGTTCGAAGTTATAACGGCACTGAAAAGAGTGGTTTATCATTTTTCACACTTACGACCACTGCAGCATCCCCATAGTCACACGATCAAATTTCAGATGCTTGCAATTGACTCATATTTATGCCAGTTGCAGTGTTCCGGGGTCATGTGATCACCCTTTGCGACCCTCTGACAAGCAAAGCCAATGGGGAAGCCAGGTTCACTTAACAACCATGTTACTAATTTAACAACTGCAGTGATTCACTTAACAACCGTGGCAAGAAAAGTCGTAAAATGAGGCAAAACTCTCACTCAACAAATTTCGCACTGAACAACATAAATTTTGGGCTCCATTGTGGTTGTTAGTTGGCAGGGACAAGCACCGGGCAGTTTATTTTTATGCTTGTCACCCCGTTTCATTCACACTGCAAATTTTCAATTCAGGCATATTTGGAATATTAACAGTATATCTGGGATAATGTCACAAGAACAGCTGCTCTGGGGGATCGGGGTTATAAAATAGCCATTTACTAGGAGGCTAATTGGTGTTAATGCTCCTTCTCATTCCCTTTTGTTACTACAATGCTATTACCCCCACCATCCAACACACCTCCTCTTTTTTCCTGAACAGATGGGCACATTTGTAAATTTATCTGCAGCCATGTGCTGTTATTTTCTATGAATTCCTAGGAGGATAATTCCCAAGTCTTTCTTGGGCACAAAGATAACTCTTAAGGTTGGCTTGTACCATGTTAATGTTCAAGCTTCACATACATGGCACCACACCGCAAATCCCAATAATAATAATCTACACCCTCATAGTTGTTCAACTTTGAACTTGGTTAAGAGAATCGTTAAAACTCAAGTGTAACACCATTCTAAAGCGTATCCAGAGTGAAACCAAATCTGCTTCACTATCTGGACACATAAACAAGACAGCTGATCATTTGCAGCTCCCTGGCTTTTCTTCCTAGGAGACAAGATTGCTCCATTTATGGAAATAAGATGGCATTCCTCTGAAAATTTAATATTTTCAGCATCTATAATCTGATTTAACAATGTATTTGTAGTTGAGTTCATTATGTATTATACACTTGTTCTGGAGTGATTTCAAATAGAAGAGATGGTATGATTTTCTGAAACCCTGAATAAAAATCCTAATTCACCATTTCCTAAACTGTCATCCTCTGAATATGTTAAACCTAGCTCCCTAAAGTCCTTGCCAGCGTGGTCAAAGGCTGGTTGCTATGATTGCCATAAAATGTGCTCCTTTCTCCTCTCTAATTGATGGTGAGATTTTATAAATCCTGTTACAGACAATAAAGATGAAAGCCTCCAAAAGCAAGATAGGCTTATAGAGACAGTGGCAGGGGACTAAAAACAAGAAACTCTGGAGAGGAAAATAACATTATTAACTCATGATTAGGTTCCCACTTCTACAGATATATTCTGACTGTTACTATCAGTGAGTTTTTCTGGAGAATTCGCTGATAGCGGAAACGAAGACTGTTGATTTAGACTGGAGTCTTCTTGAAAGACACAACAATGTTAGTTTGGACAAAGAATCTTGAATCAGCTATTAAGTATGGAGATAACAATGCCATGTGTTGGCAAATGTTTTTCTGTCTCAGGACCTGGATGATGTGCCATCATTAGCTGAAGCTGAAATTCATAAATCAAAGCAATGGTCTCAAAGGTACAAACTTACAAGGAAGTTTACAACAAAATGGATGAAGGAGGGCAAATTCAATATTTTGGAATGGTCAAGGCAAACTCCAGATCTAAAACCCAGGGAAACGTTGTGTAGGATTATGGAAAGAGCAATATGCCATGGATGAATAGGCCAGAATTCTTACACAACAACGTTAAAGACACACTGCCAATTGCAAAAAGAGTAAAATAGTTACTGAATCTAAGATAGCAATTATTTGTAGGTTGAGTTATTTTGTTTCTGAAGTATAGTAAATGAAATCTGTCATTTATGTCAAATGTCAACACTATTTCTGCACTTGGTCTTTTTATATGTTTATACCAATATTAATATAGTCTACCTGTTTACTCAGATTCACAGGAGACCCTGGCAAATATAGGATAAAAACCAGGAAATCTAAAAGAGGACAAATATGTACACAGAACATAATATCTGGTTTTTTTTTAAACATGACAAAAAATTTCCACCCCACTTTTTTACGTGTACTTTTTTATAGCATTACAGTCTATTTTGTATACATTAGTCAAGTGAAGCAGAGTACGGAAATAAATGGGTTTTTCCCCCTCTCAGTAAAGAGGGTGACTTATATCAAGATCAGTAAAATCCGAGTCTCCATACAAGAGCCTCTTTCCTTCTTGTTCTCCCTTTCCTAGCGGAAGCCTGTGACCATTTAAGTTTGAGAATCCGGCAGGCAACTCAAATGCCTCATCAGGAATGACTGAATTGGCTGGAGCTGCTTTTTTGAATAGCAAAATTAATAGTGCCCCAGCAACTCCCTCTCTCTCCTAGTGTTTACAGCGGCTCTCTAAATGCAGCCTTCTTAAGATTGACTCATCTGTACCAATATTCACAATGTATACAGGTACTGCTGAATATGACCACTCATCAGACTTTGAAGCTAAAGCGTCCTTTTCGGCTCTCTCTGTGAAAACTGTGAGCATATGCCTGAGCTGGGAAAGTTGCCTCCATTTCAGTTTTAAAGCCATGTGGCAAAGGAAGCCATTTCCTAAAACGTCTCCTACCTAGGCTGTTCAGCCTCCTCCATCTGTTCTTACCAGAAAATCAGAAAGAAATCATGAGTAATCATATAGCAGAGCAGGTTAAATATCTGTTTTTAAATACCTGTCAGGGGTGTGACCAGGGTAGGCGTGGCCAGCTTGATGTCACTCATCAAGGCTCATTTTCCAACTGCGACGGTCTCCTGCAGCCCTTTGCTAGTGAAAACAAAGCATGCGGTCTCCCTGAGCTCCGTTTTCGCTGGCAGAGGCACTGCAGGCTGGTCCTTCCCTGTTTTGAGGAGCCGAGGTGGCACAGTGGTTAGGATGCAGTACTGCAGGCCACTTCAGCTGACTGTTATCTGCAGTTCAGTGGTTCAAATCTCACCGGCTCAAGGTTGACTCAGCCTTCCATCCTTCTGAGGTGGGTGAAATGAGGACCCAGACTGTGGGGGCGATATGCTGACTCTGTAAACCGCTTAGAAAGGGCTGAAAGCCCTATGAAGCGGTATATAAGTCTAACTGCTATTGTTATTGCTATTGCTAAGCCCCGTAGTTAGATCTGGGCCAGATCTAACTATCCTGTGGGCCGGATACTGCCTCCGGGCCTTCAGTTTGACACCCCTGAACTAGGTCAACTAGTTGAATTGACTTGAAGACACCTGCTCACACAAAAGCGCCTATGATAAAAATAAGGGACATTACAGAGCAAACACAAAGTAGGTAAGAGTTACATCACAATTTAAGGAAAACTATTAAGTTGGTGCATCCAAATATTTTGGACCAACCCTGGACAGAAGAACAAAAAAAGGAAGGATCACAGTGGGATCAAATAACTGGGAATCAGTTCAGATGATCACCTGAATATGAGCCAGCAATGTGCAGCAGTAGCCAAAAAAATATATATAATCCTGGGTGGTATAAACAGAGGCATAGAGTCAACATCATGTGAAGTATTAGTGCCACTGAATAAAATCCCGGTAAGACCACACCTGGAATACTGCAACCAATTTTGGTCACCATATAGAAAAAATATTTTCAGACTTTGGAAAAAGTTCAGAGAAGAGTGACTAAGATGATCAATGACCTGGAAACTAAACCATATGAAGAATGGCTGCAGGTTTTGGGTCTGTCTAGTCTAAAGAAAAGAATTAGAGGTGACATGATAGCAGTAGTCCAGTATTTGAGGGGCTGCCACAAAGAAGAGGGGGTAAAATTATTCTCCAAAGTACCAGAGGGCAGGACAAGAAACAATTGTTGGAAACTAATCAAAGAGAGAAGCAATCTGGAATGAAGGAAAAACTTCCCAACAGTGAGGGGAATTAACCAGTAGAACAGCTTGCTTCAGAAATCATAGGTGCTCCATCACTGGAGGTTTTTAAAGAGACTAGATAGTCACTTGTCTGAAATGGTATAGGTTCTCCTGCTTGAGCAAGGAGCTGGACTAGAAGACCTCCAAGGTCCATTCCAGTTCCTATTCAATTCTGGTGTGTTCTATTCAATTATTGGGCTCATAAAAGGACTGGGAGCATCATAGAAAAGGGGAAGTAGTTAAAGCAGAACAAGCCCATACAACGAGGAAGGAAGAAGCTGCTGGGAAAAAAAAACAGGAAGCAGAAGAGTGTTAAAGAACAGACCTAAATATATCTTCCGAAAAGCCTTCTTGCCTACCCATTTCACTTTTCTTTAGAAAAGAAGTATGTTAGGATAGTTTCTTTACACACATGTAAGGAGGGGGGACATCAGAGTGCTAAGGTTGCATATACTGAATAAACCTTTCCCCACATATTACTCCCTTTACCAACACAAAAGAATTGGTAACAATTGGTAAACAATGTCTCTTTACCACACGGGGGCAGCAGAATGCATTAAATAATTGGGGGGGGGGGAGGACCAGGAATATTAATTAGCACCCAGCTTTCATATGCCCACATGGGATAGGGATGGCGTTCTCACTTTTATCAGACTTCTTTTCTTTGCTGTCTTTTTTCTTTGTTGATTTGATGCTGTCTGAAGACTTGGCTTTCTTTTTCTTCTTTTTTAACTTTAACTCTTCCGCGCTCTGCATTTTTCGCTTCTTGCCCTTTGAAGGGCCAGTATCCCCATCTGTCAGTTTCCGTTTCTTGGATGGCTTCTCTTTCTTTACATTTTTCGAGGTCTTGGACTTTGCCTGGGTACCTTCTGGGTTTCCTTGTTCCGTGTCCTTTTCTTTGTTCCCAAGGGGAGCTTTGAACAATGCGGCAAGTGATTCTGGCAACTGTACGGCAGAGGTCTCTTGGGCTTGGCCATTGCTCTGAGCCTTTGCTGCAGCTTTCTTGGAGCTGGTGCTCTTCAGGCCCTGTTTCTTTGCCTCCTTTCCCTTAGCAGCTGTTGCTTCCTTTCCAGAAGAAGGCAACGAAGTGATCTCTGTAGAAAGAAATGTTTACAATTTAGCAACTATTAAGAACCAGATCATTATAAAAAAAACCTGCTAATTTGTGGGTAAATCATTCCAACTCGGCATCAAAACCTATGATGTAATATGAATAAATGTTACTTAAAGAACTGGCATAAGCTATAAAAGCTTTTTTGCTTCCCTGTGCTTTGCTGCTTTCTAGATGCTGACTGAGCATGCTTCAACCCACAAGTTTATTCGGTCATGGCTATATTCCCGTTTGTGCTTGCTCCAGGAAATTTTCAGATACAAGATTCTATCTTCTCGTCATACAATTATTTTAAATGCCATTTTATCATTCCATGCTCTTCAGATATGTTTGTCTTAAAATTACTAGGCAATCTGGCTAACGGCTGGGAAGTATGGGATCTGATATTAGCTTTTTTTTCCAAGAGGGAATCAAGTCAAGGTTATCTTAAACAGAAGATTTCTGTAGTGTAATTATGCACATGTTCAAAGTATATCACATGTAAAAGTATATGTTGTGCTTCATGTTTCAAATTGTTAGCCTTTTGATGATTAGCTTTTAGCAATAGTTAGACTTATATACCGCTTCATAGGGCTTTCAGCCCTCTCTAAGCGGTTTACAGAGTTGGCATATTGCCCCCAACAACAATCTGGGTCCTCATTTTACCCACCTCGGAAGGATGGAAGGCTGAGTCAACCTTGAGCCTGGTGGGATTTGAACAGCCGAACTGCTGAACTTCAGTCAGCTGAAGTAGCCTGCAGTGCTGCATTTAACCACTGCGCCACCTTTTAAGCTTTCACAAGACTCTTTACTGCTGATAAGTCGAACAGTCCCAGAACCAGGACAGAATTCAACTCAGCATTAACATGTTTCCCCAGTTCTGCCAGAAAACCAAAAAGGGACCCAGTTCAACAACACTTTTAGACAGCCCCTTGATCTTTGTCTCTTCACATAAAATAGATACTTGGATTGTGAGAGGGTTTTTTTTTTTGGTCAAGCTTTCACAGCCACCTCTATTTACAAGCTAGGGAATAATTTAAGAAGCCAGCAGAAAAGGAAAGAGAAACCTGATATATAAATATGATGACTATTCTATCTGCCAGCACTCCTGGGACTAATCTGTAAAATCTTATTCTCTTCAGGCCTTCTTTGAGCACACAATAGAAAAAGAATTTGGTGTGTTTCTAAGGTTACTATCTACTGCTATCCAATACACAGCACCCAAAGACTTTCAGTGATGTTGTCAGCAGGCCTTTATTTTAATCATTTGTCTGAAGAATAGACTTTTTCCTTTTCTCCAGACATGAATGAATGATATGGTCAGCAGAACCAAAATCCTCATTTTAGATATTAGGGTAGTGATGAACCATTTAAAGCTTTTTGTTCAGGCTGGTGTGTGTGTGTGTACATAAATACACATAAATACACACACACAACCATTCTCTCTGTGTGTGTGTGTGTGTATAATTTATATACACTACACACACACACATAGAACACATCTATTGACTCTAAATAGGGATGACCAAATGAATTTGGACTACATCCTATACCAACATTTAGGATACCCATCATGGAATTAGATCAGGGATGGATAGTTTGTGCCCCATGGAGGAATGCAGGTCCCCTGGATTAGTTTTTCCAGAACTTCCTGTCCATAAATGGCTGCACCAATACTGGGTGGCAAATTGGTGATTTTGAGCACTAGGCATTAAAGAAATAGATCAGAGGCTCAAAATAGATGCATTAGATTTTTAGCAGGTTAACAGTAATTTGAGTAGTAAAACACTACTCTAGACACCCCTCAATGGCCCCAAATTTAACTCCACCGCATCACACACCTAGCTCACCCTCATCACCCCATGGTCAAGCCCCCAAGTTGTTTATTGACTGGGTGGAGGTTGCCCACATTAGACATTTTAGTGCAGATATGGGACATCTTTTGGATCTCGATCTTATGCAACTTGGAACCTTGTCAATTGATTTGGACTATAAGGAATATAGTTCTAACACAATTGCCTCACACAACACCATCGAAGCGCAATATTCTATTAAATAAATTCAGCAATAAAGAACAGTATTGGGCAACCGAAGAAGTTTTTTTAGGACAATATTTTTCATCCTTGGCAGCTTTAAGATGTGTAGACTTCAATTCCCAGAATTCCTCAGCCAGCAAGGTTCTAAGCTCTGTTCAAGGAAAACAATCTAAAGCCCTTGTTAAGGCTACTTGGGAATTCCAGAAGTTGCAGATGACACACATTTGGAAGAAAAGCTGGGGGAAAGGCTTGGCCTAATTAATTTTTTAAACAGATATTTCCTAATTTACAGAACTGTTTTACAGTTATACCTAGCTAGATGTATTTCTATTCTGATCTGTTCAATTAAAAGAAAAATACATTTTATTAGGGCAACTTTCTCCTGCACAACAAAAGAGCTTTTACCTCAGAATTTTGGCTTAAAATTTAGTCTTTAACAATATGAAAAAAAAAAGTTGCATTACATTAAGAATTAAACATTCTCCAGTCTGCCACTAGACAGTCTCGTCTAGTGATGAAGGCACCAGGCTAGAAAGCAGATCATGAGACCTGCCCCCCCATCCATGAAAGCCAGCTAGGTGACTTTGGCCAAACCACTCTCTTTCAGCCCAACTCACCTCACAGGGTGGTGGTGGTGGTGGTTGTGGGGAAAATAGGAAGAGGAAAGTGTTCAATAGTTGTGCCACTATGAGTTATTTGTGAAAATAATAAAGGTGGATACCAATAAATAATAAAAATAATACATCAATAATAATAATAATAATAAGTCAAACTGGCCAATTAAGAGAAAATTTATCTTCATTTAGAAAGAATAATTAAGCCCATAATAAGACCACACATTTTCAACTGTAACCCAACCATTAAATGTCTCTGCATAGGAAAAATCGCAGAGAATGCTTCAAAACGTAGTGAGATTTTGTGAAAAACAAATGTAGGAGGATCCTTTCTGGATCCAGAAAATATTCACGCAGTTGAAATAAGTGTATAAACTTGGCTTTGGAAAAAAAGAGGAGATTTAAGAGTCCAATTGCCTCTGGAAAATGAATGTGTTCGAGGGTGGGGACTATAAAGATAAGTTCCTGAATTCCTAAAAAGGGAAATGGGACAACTTGCCACAGTCAACTTGCTGCGGCCAACTCGCTGTAGGACAATTTAACAATTCTATTTAATTATTTAATTTTTTCCCCATTTTTGCCGTTCACATTTCATTCTGTCCCTCCTTTTGCATCCTTTCCTTTACTAATTCCATCCTAGAATAATTCCATTCTATTTCTTTAATATTAGTGCAACTCTTGTCCTGCAGCGAGTTGGTTGTGGCGAATTGTCATAGACTCCCTAAAAAGTGCTTTCCTTTTAGACTTCTGTACCAACAGTTCCTTCAAAGCCCACCTTTTTTTGCTGTGAGAGTTTCCCCATCGTCGCTATCACTTGAAGAGCTGTCAGTTGATGATGCTCTGTCAGCAGGAGCTGGCATCCCAGATGACTTTGCTTGAGCACTGACAGAACCCTGTTTGGAGACCAGAGGGCTTGCTGTTAAGAGAGACTAGGAGTGAAGAAAAGAGAGAGAAATAATTTATGAACATGTGATTAATAGCAAGGGCAGTTTCCAGAGTGATATATCCCAATCCAGTGATGGCTAACCTTTTCCCCATTGCGTGCCAAAAGAGAGGGAGTGCAGGGGGGTCGTGCTCACACTCATAATGCTATGCATCCGACTCCCCTGCCCGGGCTTTTGGTCTGCGATGAACCCATTTTTCACCTTCCCCAAACTCCAGAGGCTTTCTAGGAGCCCAGGGAGGGCAAAAACAGCCTCCCCTGCGCCTCTGGAGGCTTCACGAGGGTTCCCTGAAGCATGAAAAACAGCCCGACGCGCAAACTGGAAGACTGTTCCCTAACTTCCGGTTCGGGCGTTGGGTTGTTTTTTTTGCACTCTGGAGGCGTCAGGGAAGTATCCGGAGCCCAAAAAACAGCTTTAAAAGAAGGCCAAAGTTAGCTGGCAGCGCGCACATGCTCGCTGGAGCTGACAAGGCAATGCCTCACGTGCCCTAAAAAATGGCTCCGCATGCCATCTGTGGCACGCATGCCATATGTTAGGAATATAATCTAATGGTTGGGTTGGCAATATATAAATCATGTAACAATGCTATACCTGTTTCTTTAAATCATAGTGTAAAATGTGTTTGGTTGCTGTTTTCCTCAATCGGCCATAAGAGGGAGCCAGTATGACTGTTAGCTCTGTTTGTTAGATGCTGGACTGATCTACTTATGTGAGGAGCATAATCTTCTTTG